CTCTGAGAGTACGGATCTTGCAGGTTTCTTAGAAACCCAGAACAACAGGAGCAAGAAAGGTCACCAACAGGGGAGGTGAGTAGGAAGGCCAGGACTCCATTAGGTCCCAACACCTGCTGACCCAGATGTAGAGTGCTCAGCTACCTCTCCAGCACAGCCTCTGCCTGTGTGCTGCCATGCTTCCTGCTACAATAGATTAAACCTCTGAACTTATAAGCAAGCCCCAAATAAATGTTTTCCTTTATAAGAGTTCTCATGGTCATAGTATAATTATCTGTTCTGTCTCTTTAAGAGACAAGTCATGCCCGCTCCTTCCCCAATCTGCTGAGGCAGGTCTTTTTTCCTGCTTTGCACCCTTAGTCTTCTCTCTCCTATCTTCTGCCTCTCCCCACTTCTCCCTTTCCGTTTCTGTCTCCTCTCTCTCTCTCTCTCTCTCTCTCTCTCTCTCTCTCTCTCTCTGCCCCTCTGTTCTTCTCCCCCTCTCCCTTCCCTTTCATAACCACTTAATAAATATCCAACCTCACTCTGTATGGTATGCCTACCTCTGTCTCTCATCCGCTGCTGCCACATGGCTCGCCAAGGGGATGCCACCAGGGACCAGCCACCTTCTGAGATCTGCGGCATGGTCTCATGCGCAGTCCCTGCCTAGGACTGGCTGCTCTCAGGATCCCCTGCCCCCTGCCTGCCGGGGATCCTGCAGCAAGCTACTCAGGGATCTGCAGCAATTTTTAATAATCCATTACATTGATGCCGCAAGACTCAGGAGGCTCTCCCGCCCAAACCCCTCTCCCAGGTTCGGGATCCTGTACCAGATTTTTTTTTCCCACAACCACATGTTCCATATGCCTGAGTGATAGTTCTACAGCGTGATTTCTACTCATACCACCGGCTTCAATTGGTGAGTTTCCTCTATTCTGCTACGGTTGTTTTCCTCAGCTAAAATTGTGTTTTGACTGGCCCCGGGGTCAGTCAGCCTGCGCTAGCACTGCACACTTTGTGGGGTGCATTCGACTGGGGGCCCAGGGTCCCTCAGATTCTTCTTTCTCTTTTTTTTTCCATTTCTTTTCTTTTTTTCCGGGGATCCTACAGCAAAGTACTCGGGGATCTGCAGCGATTTTTAAGAATCCATTACACATAGCATCTCTTTACAGCAACAGAAACGATAACCAACATGACTACTATTTGTGTTTTATTTTGCTTATTTTTATTTATTTGGTTTTTCAAGGCAGGGTTTCTCTGTGTAGCCCTGGCTGTCCTGGAATTCACTCTGTAGACCAGGCTGCGTCAAACTCACAGAGACCCACCTACCTCTGCCTCCCTGAATGCTGGGATTAAAGGTGATGTTTTGAAACACACGCACACCGTGACAGCACTTTAATGTTCTGACATGTGTGCCAGAACAGAGATTCTGGATGGCAGTAATTTACAGCTCTCAACACCGCCACCATCCAATAAGTCAACTAGAAGTTAAAACATTTTTATTATTTGTTATTTTTTCAAAACTAAGTGTGTGATGCTAGAAAATAGTATGAAATACATGCTTTCTGATCATAAGCATTTATGCAGCAGAAAGAAAATCAAGGCAACATATAAACAAGGGATCAAAATGAAAAGGATCTTGTGTCTCCTGTTTGACAGTCTGAAACATAGCAGGTGAGCTTAATATGGGACAGATACAAAGCAATTCACTCAGAGGGGGAAAAACAATATAATCCATATTTATGGTATAACACGCTCAGAATCACCTGCTATAAACCAGTAAAGAAGGCACTATAAATTGCTAACATGAGACACCAATCAATATGATATGCCAAGAAATGGGGAGAGAGAAAGGATGACATTAACATAAGCAGATTACAAAGAGAATGTACAAAGGAAGGTGCCCTAAACGACATTGCACGTATAACGCATGAGGCCTATTTGGTTCACCTCAAGAAAAATGGCTGAAGCTGAAAAAAGTAAAACTACTCTAAAACTCCTAAAGACACTTTGTTAGTACCACTAACAAAATAATATGAGTTGTCGATCAGATAACTATGTATTATTGTTTATAAATTGCACACATTATTTTGTTTAACCATCATAGGAACCCATGACATATGCATTATAATCATTCTTATAGAAATAATGCCTTAGTTTGCTTGGGATGCTGAAAAAAAAAAAAAACCACCAGTCTCAAGGCCTTGAATAGCAGAAATGTATCCTTGTTTTTCTGGAACTGGAAGTCCACAATGTAACCAGAGGCTTTTTGTCCCATCTGGTCCCGCAGGCACTCAGAGGCTTAATATTAGTTATAAATCTTCAGCCGATGGCTTGGGTTTATTTCTAGCTAGTAGCTCTTACACTGTGGTGTTACCTCATTTTCTACAAGTCTTGCTTCCTTGGTGGCTGGCTGGTGTCTCTCAGACTCCACCCTTCATCTTCTTTATCTCTGCGTGAATTTCCTGGCTGGCTCTATCCTGCTTTGCCATAGGCCAAAGCAGATTTATTTGTCAACCAATGAGAGCAACACATATTCACAGTGTACAGAAAGACATCCCACAGTACAAAATCATATGTAGTAGGGTGGTTGGGCAGGGGCTTTGGAGCAGGGCTCTGCCTTACAGGGAGATCTTCTTATTGTTTTATGACCAGGAGAGAAAGCTCTCAGGTGTTCCATCTTAAAAGGACACCAGGACCCTGACAGAGCCAAAGGAAATGAAACTTCCCCAAATTCTGACACCCTCCTTTCTTCCTTTCTACCAAAGGAGCCATTTCCTTATCACTTTTAGAAGGGACAAATAACTATCTGTTGTATATCTATTAATACACCAAACCACATGTGGCCTCCAGGTGTCCTCAATATCACAGCTACCCCTGGCTCTTCTCACCCCACCCCTACCCTAAAATTCTCCAGTTCCTGGGTTTTCCCTCCCCAGCTTTATCTAACCCTGGCATTTCAGCCCTGAGCTCTGGTGGGTCTCGTTTTCCTCTCTTGGTCTCCTTGGCCTCCACATCTCCACATTCTTACTCCCTCCCCCTCCCCTGCTTCCCCTCCCCTCACACCCCAGTCCACTGTGCTGGCCATGTTCAATGTACTATGTTCTCGACCTGCTCGGACTCCTCCAGATGCTGCTGGCGGTGCTCTCCCTCATAGCTACAATAAAAACCGTCCCCTCACCATACCTTGGAGCAGTTGTGTCCTCACTTTATACAGCCACCTGTTGTAACTCTAGTTCCAGCAGGACCATTGCCTTCGTCTAGCCTCCATAAGCACCATGTGTGCACACAGTGCACATACATACACGAAGGGGAAACGCACATACGCATAAAAGTTCTTTAAAGTAAATTTAAGAGTAGTCACCCTACGCTACAGGTATAACTTAGTTGCTAGAACGCTTGCCTAACCTGTGTGTGGGACCAGTCCCACAAGGGGCCAGAGACCATGGTGGGTAAGAGACATACAAATATGCCATGCAGAGAGATTGGGTAGTATAGAGTTTTTTTAGTGGGTTATAGAGGGAAAGGGGAAAGGGGAAGGAGGAAGAGGAGAAGGGGGGAAAAGAGAGAGGAAGAGAGGGGGAGGGAAGGAGTGGGGGAATGGGGAGAGAGGCAGCATTTACCTCTTCAGAAGAGAGAGAGAAGAGAGAGAGAGAAGAAAAGAAAGGAAGGAAAGGGATAGAAGGAAGGAGGGAGAGAGAGAAGAGAAAGAAAAAGAAGAAAGGAGGGAGGGGAGGAAGGAAGGGAGAGAGGGAGGGAGGGAGGGAGGGAGGGAGGGAGGGAGGGAGGGAGGGAGAGAGGGAAAGATAAAAAAAGAAAACATACTCAAGTTTACATCATAAAGAGCAGAATGCAGTTTCTGAGCCCACCTAGACAAAAGCCACAATGGTCAAAGACTCAAGCAACCAATTCTTTATCCTTTAGCCAATACCCAGCCTTGCCCCTTCTCACAAGGTGCACTGCCCTCCCTATTAATGGTCTCTTAATCTTACTTCAGGTTTCTTTTTGGCTGTGTCTGGGAAACGCTTTAAGGGAGAACTTCCTAACCTTAAAATCTAGAACCTAAGCGTTTCTCCAGTTCTCTAAAGACACAGCTGATTAGCGTTTCAAAGCGACAAGCAAGCAGCTGTGCTCTGCCGCCTTCTGCTGTGTTTACCCAACCACTAAGGATTCCAGGACCCCAGCCAGAATGGCTATCATTAAGAACTCCAAGGCAGCTACATCCATGTTCTCTGCAGCACTATTCACCGTAGTAAATCAGGGAATCAGTTTACTTGTCTGTCTACAGATGAATGGGAGAAAGAATATGTGCTATACACACAATGGGGTTTTATTCCACTGTAATGAACCAGGTAGTAGCCTGTAATAAAAATTATGTTGTATACTGAGCATTGGAATTCATAATTCAAGTCTTTCCTTTTGCCTTAGCCCTAACATTTAGAAGCAGTAAACGTATTTTATACGTAAGTACTTCTCTGCTATCTGTCCCTTCCCCTGTACCCTTTCTCCAGATAGTATAGTCAGCCACACAAACTCGCTGCACTCAGAACATAGTGATGTCAGTGTCACTCTTCCTGACACGCATCCACTTGTCCAGTCATTAGCAATGTATCCATCATTAATCTCTGTCTTCTATCACCTTAATTCTAGTCTTCGTCAGTTTGTACTTGTATTATTATAATTAGGTTTGGTTTTGTTTTGTTTTTCTTTTTTGCCTCTTCTTCTTCTTCTTCCTCCTCCTCCTCCTCCTCCTCCTCCTCCTCCTTCTCCTCTCTCTCTCTCTCTCTCTCTCTCTCTCTCTCTCTCTCTCTCTCTCCATCTAAACCCTCAACCTCTCCCTCACCTACATTGGCAGGCAAGAGCATATCTTATTATATGAGCAAGTGATTCCCTGTTTCAAAGTATCTAATATGACAATCAAGCCTCAAATGTAAGAAAGAAAAATAGAGAGCGGGAAAAAAAAAAACATACGGTCTCTACAAAGACTAAGGTTTGATTAATTAATAGGAACCTCAAGCCACTGACTTTTAGATTTGTTTATTTAAGATACTGTAGATGTAGGGGAAAGACTTTCAGCTGTAGGAGTTAGACAGCGATCCTGTGTGTGATGATGTGAAGTTTAAACTGCTCATCCTCCATCTAAGTTCCCCGTAGTCAATGTCTTTGGTGATAGTTTCTGCTAGAGTTTTCTCACCGTTTGCAGAGTAAAGACACAGGAACTCTGATGCCATCGGACTGTTTTATTACCCATATAATGAGCAAATCATGATGTCTGTCAAGATTAACCTGGTGAGATGATCATAAATCACAATAAACCATTGCTTAGGAGATAATGAAGGGTCATAAATTTTAAATGTTGTTAATTATGCTACTTAAAGTACCAGACCTCTAGGGCTTTACCCTTCTGTGTAGTACTTATTACCACCAGAAAGGGAATGCCTAAAAGCAACACTATCACGGTTCAGTTACTAATCATCCCTATTGCTTGGTTCAGAATGAAAATCCAGTAAATACTGTTTACCAGGGACTATAGATAATATAAGAACTATTAATTAGTCTTTTCTGTCAAATAGTGTAAAAGTTTTATCATAAAGAATTCAAGGGGCTGGAGAGATGGTTCAGAGGTTAAGAGCACTGGCTGCTCTTCCAAAGGTCCCGAGTTCAATTCCCAGCAACCACATGGTGGCTCACAACCATCTGTAATGAGATATGGTGCTTTCTTCCGGCATGTAGACATACATGCAGGTGGAACACTACATAATAAGTAAATAAAATTTAAAAAATATTCAAATCTTTTATCTTCCCACCTTATAAATCTTTTAATCATGAAACCACTGGCATTCTTTTAAAAACCTTCAGGCAAATGCTTTCATAGTTTAACACACCACTGGGTAAGGCTTTTGTTCATACCAAGGTCCGGCAGTATTCTAGAATTGGGGGAGTTAAAAGGCCACCACCTCTCATTGTCCTCCATTTCCTTCTCGCAAATTCTTTTCAAACTAGCCAATCATGAAAGACTAAAAGGTGGAACCTCAGCCAATGGGGAAAAGACACAGCCATTCCTGACATTAGAATAAAAACCACAGTGGTGGCACAAGCCTTTAATCCCAGAAGAGACAGGAGGATCTCTGAACAAGGCCAGCCTTGTTCAAGTTCCAGGACTGGCTTTAGAGCTACTTGGAAATCCTGTCTTGAAAAACCGTAAAAACATACATACTTACATGCATACATACATACAAACCAAGGAAACTTCCCCTCCTGATAAGCTCCTTATCCTGGATTAGCTTTTGGCACACCCTTTCTACAAAAACAAACTGCCTTAGTGAACTAGTTTCACTTTGTTCACGTGTTCCTTACTGTAACACTGAAAGCATTCTTGGTTTGATTCTACCAATAGTATATGGAGAAATAAGTCTTGGACTGGAGAGATGGCTCAGGCGTTACAGAATAGGCTCACAACAAAAAATATAAGAGAAATAGCTCTACTCCCCACTCAAGCATTGCAGTAGCCTTCACAAAAACCCTAGGTAGGAGGAAGAGTAGCTTGTAAGTGGTCTGTTACACAAGTATAGCTTGAAGCTTGGGGAAAAAAAGACAAAACAAAAACAAAAAACAACAACAAACAACAGCAACAAAACGATATTAAAAGGTCACAAGGACAACAGCAAAAAAAAAAAACCAAAAACTAGGGGAAAAAAACTGACTAGATCTCACCAACCAGCAATAGCTGACTCAAGAAGCAGGTGGTCTGTAATCAATAATTGCCACATTTGTGAAGTATGTTTTTATGACAATCATAAAGGCGTGGTTTTCAATTGTGACCCTATATCCTCCTTCAATTTTTTTTTCTTTTCTTTCGAAGCCGGGTCTCACTGTACAGCTCTGGCTGTTCTGTAACTCGCTATGTATACCATTGCCATTGTTTTCTTGCCAAACCCCAAATCAAGAAACTCAGTCAACATACTAAAACTCTCAAGAAAATTTTATTTACTAATACATTTATACCTAGTGCATGTATTTTAATAATAAAAGCAAACCACTGAAAATATTCAGATGAATCCTTTCATCCCATGAATACAAAAGGTTTTTTGCTCCTGGTCCTCAGAAGTAATTCGAGGTAAATTTCCACATGCAAAAACCCACAAAACCAGTGTCAAATCCATTAAAGTTCACACAATGAATTAAAAGGAGAGGGTATCAAGTACATATCACATAGCTCAAGACATCCTGCCTAGCCACAGCCGGCTCCACAGAACCGAGCAGTGATAAAGGTTAAGCAATTAACGAAAGTTTGACTAAATTGTACCTCTTAGGGTTGGTAGACATCGTGCCAGCCACCACGACCATACGATTAACCCAAATTTTACGTTCTCGGCGTAAAACGTGTTTTATGATGACTCTTAAACAGAATTAAAGTCCAACTTATATGTGAAAATTCATTGTGAAACCTAGAGCCAAAAACGAAAGTAATTCCAGGCTGGCCTTGAACTCACAGAGTTTGCCTTTGCCTCCGGAGCTCTGGGATTAAAGGCCACCACGCCCACCTCAGTTTTAACAAGTGACTCTTGCGAAGGAAAAGCTACGCAAGAAAGGGAGAACTCCGCTACCCAGCGCTAAAATGGCCGCCTCGGCTTCGCAGCCCACACCCAAAATGAACGCCGACTGTGACGTTTCCGACCACAAATCTCCATTGGTCCGGTCCCCACGCCAAGCCCCCGCCTCCCTCACTGCACCCGCTTTTCCGGCAGAGGTCTGCCTTCTGATTGGCTGTTTCTACTATTTACCTTTTGTCCGGATGTTGCGTGACTCAGTCGCGCAGCCGCGGAGGAACGGGCAGAGGGAGGTCGAGCGCTCTCAGGTTTACTGGCCCGGAGGGGAGCCCCCGTGGTAGAGGGGACCGGAGCTGAGGTACTGCCCCCCGTAGCCTGAGAATCTCAGTCCCCTAAACGGCCTTTGTCACGGCGGGATCTAGGCCGGCCACTGCGGGCGGGGCAGGGAGACGCCACTGCCCCTCGCGGTACCTCTTCCTGGGCAGCGGGATGCTGAGTCAGCCCCTCGTGGGGACCTGGTGGCCCGGCTGGGGGTGCGGTGGGGCGCGCTCCGTGGTCGCGTAGGCTGCGAGCTGGCGGTGAGGCGGGAGGACCAGGCGCTCGAGCCTGAAGAAGGAAGCCTTAAGAAGGGCCGGCAGGAGTTGATCCAGAACTAGTCTAGGGGCCCGTTTGCCTAAATATATGGCAGATTGTGCGACTTGAGGCTACGCAGACTTGGGTCTCTGGCCCGGTCAGTAGGCTGCAGGCCGGAGGAAGCGACAGGTTGAGATGATGTAATGGTGTGAAAGTACCCGAAGGACTCTGGGGATTTTTCCCCCCCTCAAGGTCAGATGCCTGGAGTTTTGTGCTCTTCAGAGTTCCTGTGGAAGGACTCTCGGGTATTGTGTTTATTTTGATCGAAAGTTATGTACTAGTGGAATAAATTAACTTGCTTTGAAGGTGTCTGTCGTACCTTAATAGTTGACGTATTTACTAGACATTTATATGGCCTGGCTTCCGTTGATGTCTTTTAGTCTTGTACAGTTTGGCCTCCAATTCATTCATAGGAATGTTTTTCCTATGCTTAAAAGTTTCACACATTCTTTTAACTTAATTAAACGGTAGTATAAATACCAGTCAACACTGCGACTGTAAATGCTAGAATTTGTAATTGTGCTAACATAATAACACTCATTCTGTATTACATATATCTGGTCAAACTGGGATTTTATTATTGGGTATATATATGATAATAAACTATATATAATAGTATATGCAATATAATGTATGTTATTTTATATAATTTATACTATAATTGGATTTCTGGAGTTAGAAGAGGCAAGGGGAGGATTCAACATTAAGAATTAATGAGGCCACTGTTGTGATTTTTTTTTCCCCTGCAGAACCTTAATTTGTTTCTTCTATTCTTTGACTATTCTGTTCCTTTCTCAGTTAACATACAATTTTCTTTTTAACTAGCATTTCAGATCTGCTTAGTGAACCGGTGTATCACCCACCATGCTGGCCGCAAGGCTTGTGTGTCTCCGGACACTGCCTTCCAAGGTTTTCCAGCCCACTTTCACCAAGACCTCCCCACTCATAAAGAATTCCATCACGAAGAATCAGTGGCTCTTAACACCCACCAGGGTAAAGAATGTTTTTTCAATATGGGTTTCCACCCCATTTCGGGTTTTTTGTTTGTTTGCTTGTTTTGTTTACTTTAGGATTTTCTGTTTTGTTTTGGTGGTAGTGGTTAATCAATGGGTTGTCTGTGAGATTCTCTGTCTGTACATAGTTTTCTCTCTTTAGTGACTTAATAAACCAACAGTAGAGTTCCCAGTGAACTTTCTCCCTATCAGTTAACATCATCCCAGTCTCCTTATCACAAATGAAAGAGAGATTTTATTTTTATACCTTATCTCTTGAAGTTTCTCACTCAGAAAACTGAGAGTAAGCCTTGGGGAATTAAGTTACATGGTACAACAAAAGGATTGTTTAGGGGAGTTGCCGTCAAATGCTGAAGAACCCAGAGATATTACCAGTTGGTCCAGCTGATTAGTTACTAAAGATGGTACTACAGTTTTGCTTAGATAAGGATAAAAATGTCAGGTTATCAAGGAAGGCCTATTTCCTTTGGTAACAGGTGTTTTCCTTTGAGACAGGGTCTCAATCTATAGAATTAACTGATCTTAAAATAGTAATTCACCTCCTATATGTTCGCAGGTGCTGAGATTGCATGCAAACATCTGTCTTGTAGTATTTAAATGAGTATAGATGCATGTTTTTAAGTGTGAACTAGCTAAAGAGAATCTTCAGTAGTTAAAAGGACATATTTTCCTCTTAAAATAACTTTTCCACTGCTGGTAAAGACCCAGCTAAATGATTGAGTGCTTTCCTACTGTTGCAGAGGCTTCAGGTTCAACTCACTGCCTGAGGAAAACTGTATAATCATTTCAAAGATGGAGCACAGGTCAAGCTACATCTAACCTTTGGGTTAAACTTTGGGGGAGGTGGGGGGGGGTGAGACAAAATTTCTCCGTAACTTTGGATCCTGCCCTGGAACTATCAAACCAGGCTGGTCTCAAACTCACAGAGATCTGCCTCCCAAGTGCTGGAATTTAAAGTGTGCACCACCGCCTTCTGGCTTTTTCCCCCCCCTTCATTAACTTTTATACTGATTCTATATTAGTGTAAAAAGATCCTCTGTTTTTTTGACATACTGTTGATCTGAATGGTATATGTCTTTTTTGTATATGTCAGGAATATGCTGCCAAGACAAGAGTTAGGATCCACCGTGGGAAAACGGGCCAAGAATTGAAAGAGGCAGCTTTGGAACCATCAATGGAAAAAATCTTTAAAAGTAGGTGGAAGTTCAGTATTTAACCTGAAGCTATTTGGTGTGTTTAAGAAGTCTATGAACAACCTCCTGAAAATATATTCTAACATGTATATATGTGTTTTCTGCAAGAAAGGTCACACTGATAGGAAATCCGATAACCCAAAAACGAGTGGTGCTTTGCATTGGATTTGTTGCTGACTGGTTATATTAAGAGATTGCGGTTTTGTGGTAGTGGTATTATCAAACTGTTATCTAAAGTGGTGAAACCTGTTCAGGAAGTTTGTTTCAGATTATTTAGAATCTTCATCCAAGCATGTGTTTGTGAATGTCTCAAATTAAAAATAAATCACTGAACAGATTAGTAAAAGCATTCCCATCCAAAAAGAGTCCAGGAGCTTCCCTGAGCCTTTAAGAGAACACTGTCTTTTTTAATTTATATTTGTTCATGTGTGTGTATGCATGAATATCCACCAGGTGTGTGCTGATGCCCACAGAGGCCAGAAGAAGATATCTTATCCCCTGGGACTAGAGTTCGGTGATTATGTGCCACCAGAAGTGGGTGCTTGGAACTGAACTCGAGTCCTCTAAAAGAGGAGCAGCAAAGGGCTCTTAACTCAAGAGCCATATCTGCAGCAGCTAGTAAGGCGTTATCTTAATGAAGTCATTTTGATTCATAGCTTGGATTTTAACTTTAAAGTGTCTGAAACCAGATTGTTAATCTTCCCTAAACTATTTAAACAAAAGCACTGCTACTTTCCAGTGATGGAAATGTCACTTTATTATAGTTGAGGAGCCCTAATCAGTATCATGGAGAGCTTTTCTTTTTGATAGAGACTTGACCACAGAGAACAAATCAGGATTTTCCAGGAATGTTCTTGGTGAACAAATCGAAGGGAGCAAGATGTTCCTTATGAGCACCTACCTGAGAGCTGACAAATTTTCATTATTCTAAAGCAAGAGCATCTCTCCCTATTTGGGGTACATAAATATTAATAGCATTTTTCTCTGTTGATTCTCTAGGCTCACATAAAGCTTCACCTGGGTTTTCACACTTTAGACAGAGTGTAAAATGACTGATACCATTTTCTATATTTTTTAAACATTTATTCATCTGGGGTATATTCTTGCTATGTAAACCCTGCTGATCTCGTTCTCAAGATTTTTTTGTGTCAGTTTCCCACGTGCTTTAACAGTTATGTATACGTCTGTACCCAAATGCTCCTTTATTCTTTGAGGTCATTATTGTACATTTGTTTCTGGAATATCCTTTCCTTCTGGCCTAATGTTGAGAATTCTGTGTTCCCCATGAGACTCCTGTGAAGAAACAGTTACGATCTGATCCCCTCCTGGATATTTTGAATAATTACCCCAGCACTTTAGTTTAGTTGGAATGTGCTGACCCTAGCCTGTGTTTGCTGCTGTGCTTGCAGTTGATCAGATGGGAAGGTGGTTTGTTGCTGGAGGAGCAGCTGTTGGTCTTGGAGCGCTGTGCTACTATGGCTTAGGAATGTCTAATGAGATTGGAGCTATCGAAAAGGCTGTGTAAGTAAATTGTCCCCAAGCAACCAAAATCCTTCCTTCAAATAAAGGTTCTCATTCTTCCTACTCTTTAGTCTCTAGTCACTTTTGGAATGCCTTGTCTGGTTTTTATTTGTGAATGTGCATGAATGTAAATAGTCTCTTTTGTTCATTTCTCATAGATTTATTCAAGCCTAAATCAGCATCTTTTATCAAGGTTATGTATTCAGACAAGGAGAAAATGTGTTGCTTTTTATATGGATCAAATGCATGTTTCTGTCATTTAATCTATAGTTCCAGGATGTACATAATTATTTACATCATAGCTGGGTGTGGTCGTGTACACCTTTAATCCTAACACTTAGGAAGTAGAGTCCAGGACAGCCTGGTGTACGGTCTACAGAGCCAGTTCCAGGATAGTCAGGGCTACACAGAGAAACTCTTGAAAAACCAAAAGCAATAATTACACTTATTATCTCCATCACAATTAAGTTGAGAACATGAAAGTGATTTATTCCAGAGTCTTTTGTATCTAGCAAATGATTTAATCAGAATTTTCACCTTGTTCTGTTTCTTACAGAATTTGGCCTCAGTATGTGAAGGATAGAATTCATTCTACTTACATGTACTTATCAGGAAGTATTGGCTTAACAGCTTTGTCTGCCTTGGCAGTAGCCAGAACACCTGCTCTCATGAACTTCATGATGAGAGGCTCTTGGGTGGTAAGTTAGCTACTTGCTGTTT